CCAAGCAATGTCTATTTAAAAAAGACTGATAAATATAAATATATTAAAATTAAAGATATTTTTCATCCAATGACACCTTAAAAGACAAGCTAAAAATTGGGAGAAAAGATTCACAATATATTCAACCAACAAAAGATTAGCATCAAGAGTGCATAAAAAACTTCTCCAAATTCAAACAAAAAGTGTAAACAACACTGTAGAGAATTGGGCAAAAATTAAGAACGAGCTTTTCACAGAAGAGAAAATGCCTATGAATAAAGACACATTCAACATTAGTAATCAGGAAATGCAAATCAAGACCACAATAAGATATCACTCTACACCTTAGCAAAAAATAAGTCTGACCATACCAAGGGTCAGAGAGGATATGCATCTGTGAGATCTCTCATACATTCCTGGTGGGAGTGCAAATTGGTGCTACTCTGTCAGAAAACAGTTTGACACTACTCCCAAGTTTGAGAATTCACATACTCTGACTGTGGGCAATAGAATGGGCATGGTGACAGAGAGACCAGTTAGACAGCTGGTGGCAGAGTCAAACAGAGAGGCTGGTAGTAGGGATGGAAAGCTTGATGCAAGAGATATTGACATCCACAAAAGACCAAAACAAGAGCTTCACAGAAAATGATATCTAATGGCCAGTAAACATATTAAAATGTGCTCAACCTCATTAGGCATTAGGAAAATATTATAACCACAATGAAGGACTTCTGCACAGTCACTAAAATGGTTAAAACGTAGAGGAGGGTGTGGAGAATGCTCACATAGGGCCTGTGTGAGTGTCAATTTCTACGACCACTTTGGAAAACTGTGTGGCTTCTTACCAGGAGACCCAGCAATTCTATTCCCTGACACACACTCAGCGGAAATGTACATACCTGTGCATCAAAAGACATGTACAGACTGTGCTTACCGCTGTGTGATATATAGGAACGTTGTTAAGAGAGTAGATCCTAAACGTTCTTATCACGAAGAAATTGTTATTTCTTTCCTTTTTATGGTATTTACATGAGATAATGAATGGTCACTAAACTTGTTATGTTAATCATTTCACAATATATGTAAATCAAATCATTGTCTTGTATACCTTAAACACATGCAGAGATGCATGCCAGTTATTTCTCAATAACACTGGGGGGTGGGGGGTGGGGGGAGGAATTCCCATAGCAGCACAATTCACAGTAGCCAGAAACAGGCAACAACCCAAATGCCTCTCAGCAGTAAAATGGATAAATCGTGGCATCGAAATCCATATGGTAACTAGAACAAAGTTACTACAAATACGATTTGGACGACTCTCAGAAATATAATCCTGAACCAAAGAAACCAGTCCCAAAAGAGTATATAGTGTAAGATTCACTTTTTATAAAGTGCAAAAACAGAGATGAGGATGGTGGTGGCCTCCAGGGAGGAGAGGATCTGTGCACTTCATTGTATGTTTGATATACTTCAATTCAAAGTGTACATTTAAAAGGAGAGATTTAAGAGAACCGACTGTTAGATGTGAATGAAGAGGGACTGAACGAGTTTCGTGTGACTTTAAGGTTTGCCCTGAAGAACCAGGTCAATGGAGTTACTCTTTACTGATACGGCAAAGAGCAGAGAAAAGGCGGATGTGGGCAGGTGAGTAGAAATCAAGTCCAGTTTTAAACATGCTCTGATGGAGGTGCAAAATAGGCTTTCAAGTGAAGATGTCAAGTAGTGAATTACACATCCAATCGGGAGGCCCAGGGGGAAGTTAGAGCTGGAGATACAGATTTGGAAGTCTTCCTTGTGTGAATAGAGTACAAGCCCGTGAGACTGGATGAGATCTCCAGAGTAGTGAAAAGAAAAGAGAATGTCCAAGGACTAGGAGGGCATGAAGGCACTCAAACATTTAGTCTGGTAAAGGGTAAGAGCCACAAAGAACACCAAGGAGCAGCCAGAGCGGTAGGAAGGAAACCAGGAGAGAGTGGTGTCCATAGGCCAAGTGGTTTCAAGGAGGAGGGAGTGATCAACTGTGTCTAAGGCTACTGACAGATCAAAATGAGACCTGAGACTTGACCGCTGGACTTAGCAACATGGAGGCCACTGGTGAACTTGTCAAGGGCAGTTCCGTGGAATAGTGGCATCTGAGGTATGGAGTAGCAGAGGACAGAATGAGAGGTGAAGAGGTGGGATGCAGACAGCACTTACGTGACAGGCACCTCTCACAGACAGGTTGTTATTGGACAGTCCCCTCAGTCAGTGGGAGAGGGCTGTTCCCAACTTCAATTCTTGTCTTCTCATATAAATGATTTTATATGAGAGATCTTGATTGCGTTGTGAGAAAGTAAATTTATTAAAACATTAAAGCAAGTGAATTTGTATAAAAATTAAAGCATGCACATTTATTAATGAAGCAAGGCAAGCAAATCTATTCATCTGCCTATGAAGTGCAGATGGGCTCTCAGCTAATCTGAAGAGCCAGTAGGGTGGGGGAGTCTCTGTCTTATACACCATCTTGTCTATAAGCTTTTTAAAAAAATCCCTCTGCTAGCCCGGCTGGGCGTGGCTCAGCGGTTGAGCATCGACCTAGGATCCAGGATTCGATTCCGGTCAGGGCACATGCCCGGGTTGCGGGCTCGATCAATGACTCTCTCATCATTGATGTTTCTATCTCTCTCTCTCCCTCTCCTTTCCTCTCTCTGAAATCAATAAAGATATATTAAAAAAAAAAAAAATCCCTCTGCTAAATATCCTGGTACAGGTTAAGTCTAAAGGTCTCTACTTTTCTATGTAATGGTTTTCCCACAATTTATGAGAAGTAGCAGGCAACTTTATCTTGACAATCCCTAGACTGCTGGGATGACAATGTTTAAATAATGGGATAAGACAGACTGTGCTCTTCTTTTCCCCTCCTCCCTGCTGTTTTAACAGCTTCAGGATGATTTGTACTAAGTAGTCTCTGATTAGTTTGAAATAAGATTCCTCCTTTACCCCTTCCCTTCCCCCTCCTCTCTTGCATTCTTTTGTGAGGTTAGGTGGTTTTAACCTTTTGTTCTCAAGATAAGGTCCTGCTACCAGCGGCCTGTAAAGCTTTTTTGCTTTGTTTAATTTTCCTGTCTCAGTTTCCCTATTCCTCCTGCCCTGAAAATTTCCTAGCTTCTTACACTATCCTATAACACTTCCAAGAGTTTTGCTGTGAAAAGGGGCAGGAGGTGAAGGAGCTGGTGGGGCTGTGGTAGGCAGTTAGATATGAGCAGAGCAAGGACGGTGGGCCAGATACAGATGATCACCAAGGTGGAAAGCCCCTGGTGCCTAGCAATGGGCAAAATTGGGAAAACAAGGACCCCATCCCCAGGGTAACCTTTCCTCCCCCAGTATATCACTGATCATATGGTTTGGACCCCCTGAACTTTCATATTGTTGGTCATGTGGTTTAGACCCCCTGACCTTTCCTCCCTAGACACCACAGCTAGGCCTCAGTTGTGTATCAGGCCCAGGCCCAGGCCCAGAAAAACAGCAAAACCAGAGAATCGATGCTATCTATAGCTGACCTCAAGACCAGTTGCATTGACTAATGACCTCCTGCTCTGGCGCCAACCAATCAATCAGTGGAACTCCTAACCCTGAAAAAACATACCTGGAAAGCTAATGAATATTCTACTGAGATCCACCCCTGGGACTCCCCCTAGAATCTCCACCCTTAAAAGCCCTTAGGACTGAGAACCCAGCACAGCTGTCCCTCTCCTGCTCTCTCCCCCTCCTGGGAGTACACCCATGCCTTTCTCCTCTCCCTCTCTCTCTTCTTCTTCCTGTGTGTTATCTTTGCCTTCCTTTCTTCTAGGCTCCAAGGGCCCCTTCTTTTGCCTCTGTAACTTGTTTCTGGAGTCCATTTCTTCTACCACCCACTTCTTCTACCTCTGTGGCTTTCTAAGAAAATTTCCTCTTATAGTTTGAGTCTTGGCTCTGAATTCTTTCTTGGCCAGAACTCAAGTACTGAGATTGTTGAACCAAGGTCCAGTCTGACCCCACTAGTCTAACACCTGTTGCCATTCCAGTTGCAGCAAACAGGACCAGGGGATTTTTAAATGGGGGCATTTTTGTAGAGGGGGAACAATGGACATGACAGAAGAGAGAGGAGACCATTACTGGAGCCAGATCCTTGGGCAGGTGGGAAGAGCTGGAGACCGAATTATTCTTGGAGCTCCACCTGATAAGTGAAAAGCAAGATTGAAGCAATTGGAAAAAGTTGATCCTGCCCTATAAGCTACTACCTGAGGAGACAGCTGCCCTGGATAAAGGCTGCACACTTCCTTCACTTTCCTTTCCTGGTAGCTGAGCCCAGGGCACAAGGAAGGATTCAAAGGTTTCTCCTAGGAAACAGCTTCCGGCGGGG